TGCATTGATAATGAATCAGCATGATTGGAACTGTAGAGATTGTCTAACAAACCAAAATGCTATTTACAAATCAACGAGTTTTGGTGCAATCTAACATTTATTTTTGTTCTTGGCACACAGAGAAAGGCAAAAATGTACAAGAAAGTCGAAATAGAAAATTTCTGGTCGCTACCTTTACGCACCAAAACTCTTATCAGAACAGTCACAATAATACCTTCATTATTACTGTAAATCTGTGTGTTCCTGTTCGTTTGCACGCTACGAATATAGTAACAGATAATTTACAAGATAGATGTGCTGTTTATCAATTCCATTTATCCAACATTATCAGCACAGAGCTTGATAAACGTAGGAAAACATCAAGATCGTGACTGTAAACGTGAAAACCTGTCGTATAGAGCGAAATATGGCGCCAGTCAGGTGTTCGACTTCGACCACTCTTATGGGCTGATTTGCGGATAGAGTTTATTGAGTCCTAGAGTTGCGCAAGAAGTCCATTTTAACTCAAAATAATCAAATTAAATAGAGAAGATTATGGTTGTCGCAAAATAAGATGTCATTCATCTAAAATCATTTCCAAGACTTTTTACTATGCATATCAGTTCTCACCAAACAATAACTGATTTCAATGAAAAGAGAAATTGCTGCTTAATGCAGCCTTTCTAAATGCCTAAAATGAAAATCGTAACAAATTAGTTTTTAGCGTGATTCGAAACTCCAGCATACACGGGGAGAGGAGGGGACATTTTGGCATGCTTCACGAATATCATATCTATTCCGTAAAAGCACCTTATTACGAAAAAGTTAATATAGAATAATGAGCCAAATTCATGAAATCGCCTGAACTTCATCCCAGGGTTTGATGTGCTCACGGCACCGCTTCTTAGGGTTGAAAATGTTCTGATAGGATCCAACTCACTCAATTTTGCCTGAGCCGTTATCAAAGAAATGTCCTAGCATGTGCGATGGTAGTAAACCTACACCATTTAGTTCAAATTCTTATATTCTATTATTCTAATTCTAAAATTCTACTCTAAAATCTCATATTCTAATATTCTAGCTTCTAATAACTATGTGAAATTCCTCCACGAAAGTTCCAAACGACATGTGTCCCACTACCGTATGCGTATGTTGAGTTCCTACTACGGGCTACGGACTAAACACGATTTTCGTGATCAATCTGCAAAATAGCCCGAGTGAGTGATCTTCAGATAAATTTTGATTTCGACCCTCCGTCGTAAACCTACCCACATTAAGGCACTACCATGCGAACTGGAGATAACGTAATCAGACTGCTAGATAACCTCCCTAGGCGAAAGTCGAGCAAACGTCTCTACACAAGAGTTGCCTAACATTACCATTAAGAATAATTTATGTGATATATATTGGCTTTATCGAAAGTTACAATATTTTAAAATGGTGACTGATACCGAGAAACAACTTTCTGCACAACATGAATGCCCATGCTTCTGCGATGTCCCATGAACATCATCAAGGAACCTTTGCAGACTTCTACGAATTAATGGAATAAGTGCTGAACATAAATTTATTCAAATCAACAATAACAACTTATGCCGTCTCCGATGGCATGCTGCGGATGATATCGGAATCTCCAGCATCAGTAACAGACAGAGTACAAACATGGTAGAGTTTACCGCAGGCAGTTCCAAGATCGATGTTGCTTCCATTGTAATGGTGGACACCAGTTTTCGCCAACATAGCGTAGTACTCAATCTCTGACTTTCTAAAGGAACTAAATAAAACAAGAACAAAAAAGGAACTAACGAAAAAGAGCGTACCTGAGGGGAGGAGTGTTGTTGGCAATGATGACCAACTTGGCTTTTCCATTACGCAGAGCTTTTAGCGTTTGTTTGTAGCCTAGTACGTACTTTCCTGTCTTCATAACCATGGACAATCGGGTATTGATATTTTCAGCATTTTTCTTGACCTGAAAATTACTACTGGTCTTGAAGGCAATCAACGAG